CGGTTACGACCGCCTGGATCCAGCCACGTGTCACCTCACTGCTGGTTACGACCGCCTGGATCCAGCCACGTGTCACCTCACTGCTGTTGGCAACCAGTCAGGAGGTCACACGGGTCCAGAATACAGGTGGAGGCACTCACAGCTCGAATGGCCTTGTCCACATCCCCAGAGGCAACATCCTGAAACTCAACCCAGAGATGGTTTGCCAAGTAATCCTCTTGTGTCCCGGCTGGAACTGCAGCGGTGGAGTCCAAGTCCGACCGAAACCGAGCAACTTTGTCCGCTAAGAACTGGGCGTAGTCCTCAGCCTTACCCTGTAGGGGGTCTGCCACATCCCTCCTAATGTTTTATCCCTTATGAAACTTACTGTTCAAAATATTCTAAAAGATATGGATTATTTGGTCTTCTGGACATGAATACTGCCTGGGCAATGCAGTAGTTAGAACACAGTATTGCAGGTTAACTTTGTCCAAAGTCTGCAGTTCAACCTCAACGGGCTCAAAGTTGACTCAGTCTTCCATCCTACCTAGTTCAGTAAAATGAGGACCCAGATTTTTTTTGGGGGGGGGACAATATGGTGCTCAGCCTGGTGTTCCATTTGGTGCTTCTTTGAGCTCAAATAAAAACTTGAAATTTTAAATATCATACGCATGCACACAAAATTTGCTCTTAAAGTTAAAAAGAGATTCATGTTGTGTCAAAGAATATATATAAAACGGTTGAAATTGTGGAACAATTCAAATAAAGTAACAGGTTTATTTATCATATTTCTCCTTTCTGCAATAAAATCTTTAGCATTTTTAATGTAGATTAATTCTACATAGAAATCTTGAATTTCTGGACGATGGACTACATATCCTGAGATATTCTAATGTTATGAGTTTATGTTTACTCAAGTTTATCAGCCTCCAATATGGAGTTAAAATGCTGCTAAATCCTCTCTCCAGATTGTGACATTCAATGGTTTCTTACTTCCTTCTTGTCTTCCTTCCTGGATCCTTGGCATAGGATTTTGCATTAAGAAATGCCTAGAATTTTTGGCATGTTTGATCAGACTAGTTTTTGTAAGTATTCAAGCAAGATTGTAATTTATAAGCACCTTCAGAAAGAGAAAGACAGATTCATATGTAAGACAGCTAACCTAATGGAATGAGGGGGAGTGTAATGCCGAATTGTGTCTACTCAGAATTCTTTCCTTTTTTAAATTTAGTCATCCATGCCTTTTGGTCAGTAGACACAATATAGAAGACTTATGGTCTCCTAATGTATTTCTAATTTAAAGAAGCCATCAATGCATGATGTGACAATGGTTTTGATTTTGGGTGTGTTTTTTGCTGGCCAGTTTGTTGCTGAGTCTGATGTTGATTAGGTCTGAGAGAGAGGCCAAGGTCACCCAAATGGCTTCTGTGCCTAAGGCAGGATAAGAACCTGGGTCCAGCACCTTAACCATTACACCATGCTGGCTCTTGGACTGAATGCAGAATATAGTATATTAAATTTGCTCTGTGCGATCCATATGGATTGTTAAAATATGGCATATTGATGAACGTGACAGACTTTGCCCATTTTAGAAACGGGCAGATACACAGCCGTCTGGATTTAATTCCTGCCACTTCAGTTCTAAAATGTATATAATATATTCCAACTATACAATTATCTTTAAAGTACAAATTGAAATGTGTATCTATTAAAGATTCATATTATGTGAAATCCAGTTGTATCAGTAACTTGGTAAGAATCAAGCTACTATACTGGAAATGACTATAAATTAATATGAAACAATAGCTAACACATCAGCTGTTTAATGCTCTTTGGAAAATAAGGTATTTTTTGTTGACTTCTGCAAAATATTACTCTGGTTAGTGTATAGGAATTAAGTCTATTAGATCTACATGAAGGCAGCAAGAAGGAGGGCAATTACCTAGGCTATACTAAGCGAAGTGTTTTTCAGTAGAAATGGCAACAGAATGAATAACAAAAAAGCAGTTATAGATGCAAGCAATTTTGTTAAAAGAAATTTATAATAATCCATTATTTGAGTAATATATGCCCCGACTTACTTATTTTAAAAAATGTATAATTATAGCTTTCTTTAATAGATCAGACCTTATTTTAAGCATTATTTCAGAGTAAGAAATTATAGTGCTACATTTGATCATGCCAGCCACAGTATAACAAAAATTGAATTTTAATCAGAAAAAAGTTTTATGTTTTGCATGCTAGACAATCTTGTCTGTAAATGCCACATGCTCTTATTTTCATCTTTACTGACAAATTTTTTTCTTCATTTTTCTAGGGCTTACTTCAAATTATTTGTCCCTCAGTTCCAGGAGGCAGCTTTTGCAAATGGAAAACTCTAAAAAAAAGGGGGGGGGAAACAACCTCATCCTGAGAAAATGCCAAACAGATTCTTGTGCCCACATGCTTGTCAACAGATTGCAAGATAACTTCCTGAAGCCTGGGCTTCAGCATTTATTGGCGGAGGTTTCGCCTCTGCAGTTTCATTGTGATCGTCATAGACCGACTGAATGAGAACTTTGGCTGATTGACTTCAATACAGGGTCTTTTTTCCCCTCTATTTTCTTTTCCTATATGCAGAAATGTTGCTTCATTACTTGCTTGGTGGAAGCTCAAAATATATTGAATAAATGTGATTTTTTCCCCTTCCTTTTATTTTTTTTTCTAAATTTCTTTTTCTATGACAATGTTTAGAGGTTTTAGGGTTTTTTCGTGAATTTCTGCATGCTGGAATTTCTGACACATTAAAAGCACACTGAAAATAAATGTACAATAAATCTGTCATATTATGTCTGTCTCCTAAGTTGATTCTCATGGGAAAGAGAAGGTATGCAATCGGATCAGCCATCAGTTGCTACAAAAGTGGGCATACCGTTTTTAGCAACTTTACTTGCAAATCTTATTGGAGGATTTAGTTTCATATTTTGTTAAGTACCAGAACATAACTTGGCAAAAACTATTTAGTTACAAAGATGCTACAGAAATGTGCACTATTTAAACAGAAGTGTTTACTAATTTGTTAATTCTGTGACATTTCTACATACAATCCTCATAAGAAATAAATAATTGAAATAATATAGAACATTTCCAATTTCTAGATTTATACTTTATAACGATTCAAGCTACATTTTTCATTTTAACTGACATTAGAGAACCGTACTATTACTGGATGCATCATAATTTCTAATATAAAAATAGGACATTCAGTGTTAGATACATTTTTTTTCTTTCCTTTGATATATTTAGGCAAATCACTTGCCTCTGACTAGTAATAGAGTAACTTCCCATATTTGTAAATAGCATCAAGGATTTTCCAAATGGAATATAAAGTTCATGATATTGTAGATAGCATATTAGCCATATACCTTATTTCTCCAGAGAGTTAGGAAATGAACTAACAAACAAATGCACCAACTGTTTGAAAAACTGTTATTGTATGAATGCAAAACCTGATATTTCAATAAACTGCAATTTAGTGAATCTATGAATCTTACAATAATATTTGCATTGAAATATTTAAGTGATATGTTCTGGCCCAAACTTCTGTTAGCCATGAAGCATATTTGATGCCTTTTGGGAATTCAGTATCCTGCCATCTGTTTGCCTTCAGAAGTCTCTTCGATGATAAACTGAAATAACCTATAAAGTTTCTCGGATGAAAACTTTCCAATGTTGCAGATGCATAGTTTTAAATGTATATTGTAAGTCCAATGATATGTGACAGATGACAGGCCCCTGAGCAGGATTTAATCTGCAATGGCATCTTTATAAGCATGGCTAACCCTAGGCCAGATTGCACTCCAAGCAAGAAATGTTTACAGATTTTTCCCCCTGCCCCCACCCCACTATTCACCTCTTGAAGACCTTTGGGTTATTAAATAATTTGTAGCCATCCTCATTGCTTACAAAGTGACATGTCAGTATAATTTTTCTCTCATTAAAAGTATACCTTTCAAGCATGGATTGGAATATAATCATTTATCACCCCTCACATGGTTTGCTGATCTGTATGCTCTTGTGGTGGTTACAAAATTAATGTAATCCGCAGGTCAACAGCAGACAAATTGAATGACTTAGGCAGCATATGGCAGCTCCACCATGTGCCACTTGCCACTAGTTAAATCCAGGTGTACCTAGAAATGATGGGCAAGCAGCAATTGCAATGAGAGAAACTGATAATGTGTTCTTTTTTCCTCATATTTCTTATGCCCTACAACATGCAAGCCTTATTTTTTCCTCTGTGACAATAATTACACTACACTACAACAACGTTAAAGTGAAAAGGCACCTTAATGCCATTAATCTCTTTTTTACTCCTCAGTCCTCCTTGAGTGATAACAAGCAAAATGTAGTTGACTCCCGCTGCCCTAATAACAATCTTGTTATATTCCATATATAAAATTATATAAATGTTATTTCTAATTATATAAATTTAATGAATAAACAACCCAGGCTGTGTGCTGGCTGTTCACCTTGGTTCCAAAGCTGCCTTCTTTTCAACCATTGTGTTTTGATCTGTACAGCTGTATGTTGTATGTTGAAAGGGGACCCGGTGGCTCAGTGGCTAAGACGCTGAGCTTTTTGATCAGAAAGGTTAACAGTTCGAATCCCTAGCACCGCGTAATGGAGTGAGCTCCCATTACTTGTCGCAGCTTCTGCCAATCTAGCAGTTTGAAAGCATGTAAAAATGCAAGTAGAAGAAAAGGGAACCACCTTCAGTGGGAAGGAAAAGCATTCCGTGTTTCTTTGGCATTTAGTCATGTTGGCCACATGACCATGGAAAAGTCTTCGACAACACTGGCTCTTCGGTTTTGAAACGGAGATGAACATAGCCCCCTAGAATCGGGAACAACTACATATTTGGGTGAGGGGAACCTTTACCTTTGTATTGTATGTTGAGAATGAGAGTAGAAAAAAGGGAAAGCCAAGTTCAAATAACAGAAACACAGAAACACTTGGAGCATCAAGAAATGAGCAAAAAAAGCAGGCAGATAATTCTTAACAGAGACCCTGCTAATTTGCTGAGGCCACAATCCAAACAGTTGAATAAGTCCCCAGTGCAACTTAGAAAAAAATATCCCTAAACATGAGGCTTTTTGTGAATCAATACAGCATAAACACAATATTAAATGGCTGGAGAACACATAAGTGCTTAATTGTAAGTGTCCAGAATAAATGGAGAGTAAACATCTAACATTTTTCTACCTGCTGCTCTCTAGAGCTTGTTAGTCGTAGCACTAGCTGACGAATTAATACTCTTGTTGAATAAATGGCCTTTGCAAATCACTTGCTGGGAAAATTGATCTTTGAGTTGCTACATGTTTACATCAAAGTGTATTGAAGCCATAGTCTGGGGTTTTTTCCCACTTGTGAGGAATTTGAAAGGCTGTGCCAATGAAATGCAGAACTCTTGTGTGCAATTCCAACTGTGTAGAATTGTAGAATCTGTGTAGAAGCCTTTGACTTGCAGTGAAGCAAATAATTTTATCAACTAGTTAAATCCACCAATGAGCCCATCCACTTTTAGCATACTGTTTCTTTTAACCCACCATTCCCTGCAGCTGAACAATTGCTTTTGAAAATACATGAAAAGATGTTAAAACTAGCAAGAGGTATCCTCCTGACATGTCGACAAAACGTGTCTTTCTTGATTAAAAGAACAAGAGGCACCTCTGACCTATGGATCTAATACACATATAATCCACTTGTAGTTCTGTTAATAGGTCTGAGCGCAGTAGTTGCTGGGATCATCTGTCCTTTGCATGATCAATGCAGAAGATGCATAATTTCAGAACAGCTTCTCGGGAGGATGGATGACAGAATAGTATCTCAGCCACTTTTTCTTTCTACAATACTCATTTTCCAATTTCATTAGTCTTCACTGAACAAATGAAGTGGAATAGTGTTTTCTAGTCTCCAAGAGCAAGGTGAGTTTTTGAGAAGAGCATTACGTTTATGGGTCTTCTAGAAAGCCAACATACATAATATCTTCATTCTCAGGGAATCAGGTGGATTAATAGGACAGTTTCCACACGGATGTGGATTATATAATTATACACTGGGCCTTGGTGTGTCTGGCTGTAATAGCACCTTGGGATCTTTTATAAATGACTCAACTTACGTTTGAGCCTAATTATGGGCTACTTGGATGTAGAAGCAAAGTAACTGGATCTTCCTGTGCAGCTTCCAATGAAGTGGTATTATATGTCCAAGCAGATTGCCACTGCAAAGGAAAATTCAAAAAGAAATTCAACAGGGCCAACCAGATTTGCATGGGAACCACTTGATATGCCTGTACAATGTCAGATCATCATAATGGCTTTCCTATTGATAGTTTTCTCCAATAGGGTATTTTGTAAAGAAAATGACATATGCTCTCCGTACTATGCAGAATAAATTGATTTGCTGAAATTAGCTTTCTGGGGTGCCATTTTGAAGCATCCAATGAAATGCTAACTATTACTAGACACTGGAGACAGTTCCAATGTTGCTTTCTGTCATCAGTGATCAGCTGGAACAGATTTTTTCTTTCAGAAGCCTCAAGTTATCAGGATAATGTTGATATTATCAAAGGCCTTGGAGTCTGCAAGGTGAATTTTTGCCATCAAATCCACTTCATGTAATTCCATTCCTTCATTTTGTTTTCAGGTTTGTTTGGGTATTTTATCTTGTTTGCACCTCATTTTATGTCTCGGGTTTTAATCACATGAATAAAATAGCTGCCTTGATTGCAACCTGCTACTGTGCTGGAAGTTCTTAGGGGAAAAAAGGTTTATTTGAGGTTCAGCAAAGATTATTCTGGGGAAGTAAATTTAAGGTTCTTGTTAGTCAAGACAGAATATAACTATCAATAGGTGCAGTGGTGGGGTCCAGATCCCATTGCAACCGGTACGGTTGCAAGGGGCCCACATCTGCCACATGAATGCGTGCAGTGCGTGCATGCGTCTTACCCTCCAGCGACGCCTCTGTGAGCCTCCAGAGTGTTGCACAGGCATTGTATGCGCCGTGCACATGCGCGGAAGCACCGAAGAGTTTAAAGACAGGTAAGGAGCTTGGGCGGGTGGCTGGGCCCTCCAGAGCAGCATACCGGAACCGTACCCAGTACTCCGGGCAGGCACCGGTATGCCCGTACTGGAGCATACTGCCAGCAACCCACCACTGAATAAGTACAATTACTAGTGAAAAGGTCAAAGTATGCTGAGCTTCCAGTTACTCCCCCTCCCCTCAGCTAGTGGTGGGATTCAAAATATTTTATTATCGGTTCTGTAGCTGTGGCTTGGTGGGCATGGCAGGAAAGGATACTGTAAAATCTCCATTCCCACCCCACTCCAGCGGAAGGTTACTGCAAAATACCCATTTCCTCCCGATCAACTGGGACTCAGGTGGTCGAGAATTGTTGGGGGGG